AGTTGCCTCCCTAAATGTTAACTTACTGACTGGGCAAAATATGGAGGGTAAAAACATGTGGTTAACATAAATGAATTTTTCTACAGGTTTCTGCTACATAGTGTAACCCAAGGTTCTCCAGGCCCCACCAGCTTATTAGGTTTCAATTTCCAATTACATGAAAGATAAGAAAGCAATATGCCAAGGGAAAATGGAAGAAAGCTCAGAATTACTGTCACTAAGCAAACACACTTCTGCCATGGGACGTACAAGTATATTGCTCTGAGTAGTGCCTACACCTAATCAACAGGAATTCTGTAACACTTCTCCAGCACAGGTGTGTCTGGGAGTCCCTAGAGGGTGACTCATGCTCTTGAGCAAATCCTGTTCCACTGGGCCCCCTGCTGCTCCACCATTTCTCTCTGGACTCTGCAATTTCCAAGGAGGGATCAATTAATACCACAATCTCCCTCCCACCAACTGCCCCTCTCTTCTGTGGCTTGACATGGGAAGGCCCCAAGATGACAAAGTTGCAGAGTGATCTGGAAAGTGGAAGGAGATTCAAAGAGACTGTCCTTCTCCTCTTTTGCATTACACACAGTTAGATTTCCAAAGCAGTGCTGTTCATGGCCCAACATCTCAGAGAGTTTTAGACAAGCTTCTCTTTTTGTTCTTACTTCCCTCTTCCTGCTCTCTCTGCAGCCCTCAGAATGAAAGATAAAACCACTGACAGACACTGAGCAGGACTCAGAACTAGCGCTTTTTTCCAGTGACCAAGTATTCCCAGGTCAAAGTCATTATGCTTGGCTTTCTCTTGCCTTAGGATCACATCTCTTAGGATCACATCTCATGCATGTCTACCCCAATTCATCAGCCATGCTGTTTTAGGCTTAAGCAGAGACCTCTGCTATAATACAGAAAGCTAAGGCAGTAAGATGCATTGATAAACATAATATGAAGATGGAGTATTATTAAGATGTCAGCTCTGTAAGGGCAAAGATTTGTATTTGTTTCTTCTTTGTGGAAGCACCAGCCCCT